ATTTTGGGGGGAATTCTTTATCAAAAGTTTTTTTACTGTATCAAGATTTTTGAATACAACTTTAATATTAAAAGTCTTAAGAAGAGAAGGCATATCAACCAAGTTTTCATGGTAAGGGAGAACCAACATGTTTTTAGTTGAATAAGGCTGGTTGTCCCTTTTCGGATTATAAAAAGTGTTTCTAGCAACTTTAAAAGATTTATCAATTACATTTCTTGGGTATTTTAAATCATTACCTATTTCATAAATTTTGGATATTTCCTCATCTATGAACTCAGGACTACAAATTCGTAAAGCTCTCAAAAACATTGATGAGAAAACAGACAGTTTGACTCTATCTTGATGCGAGGAATAATAGTGGACATAGGAACAGTTATTTGTAGGTTTTCTGTAAATTTTAAATTTGAATTCATTATTACCCTTTATCGTGCTTGGCCGGGAAAATTCGGTATTAATAATTAAAACATCTAGAAAAGGCAATGAGTTATTTTCTTCAAACTCAACAGTAAAGTTTATAGAATGGGCTAAGCTATTTAATTTTCCAAGAAAATGGTGTATATCTACATTTTTGGGCATAAGACACAAAATATCATCAACATAACTGAACCATTTGTAGTCCTGAGTTCATAGATGAGGAAATATCCAAAATTTATGAAATAGGTAATGATTTAAAATACCCAAGAAATGTAATTGATAAATCTTTTAAAGTTGCTAGAAACACTTTTTATAATCCAAAAAGGGGCAACCAGCCTTATTCAACTAAAAATATGTTGGTTCTCCCTTACCAATTAAAATTTAGTGTAATGCAACTAAATATATTTCAGATAAGTTTATAATAGTTTAATAATAAACAGACACAATGAAATATATTGTTTCGTGAGGTTTAGAAGGATTTTTGCTAAATTATTGCATACACAGATTTTCGCTTGCCTTATTCGGCAAAAAGAGCGTTGATGTTTAAGCCAAAATCGGTAATTTTACCTATTCGGCACGACATATATTGGTCATATATTTAATTGTATCATCTATCGTATTTGGTATTGTGTTTGATGAAAACAATAAGACGAGCGAATATTGTCATTTAGCAGCTATATTATACACAGAATATTGTCATTTAGCAGCTATATTATACACAGAATATTGTCATTTAGCAGCTATATTATACATAGAATTTTGTCATTTAGCAGCTATATTATACACAGAATATTGTCATTTAGCAGCTATATTATACACAGAATATTGTCATTTAGCAGCTATATTATACACAGAATATTGTCATTTAGCAGCTATATTATACATAGAATATTGTCATTTAGCAGCTATATTATACATAGAATATTGTCCATTTAGCAGCTATAATTATACACAGAATATTGTCATTTAGCAGCTATATTATACACAGAATATTGTCATTTAGCAGCTATATTATACATAGAATATTGTCATTTAGCAGCTATATTATACACAGAATATTGTCATTTAGCAGCTATATTATACACAGAATATTGTCATTTAGCAGCTATATTATACACAGAATATTGTCATTTAGCAGCTATATTATACATAGAATATTGTCATTTAGCAGCTATAATTATACACAGAATATTGTCATTTAGCAGCTATATTATACACAGAATAATTGTCATTTAGCAGCTATATTATACACAGAATATTGTCATTTAGCAGCTATATTATACACAGAATATTGTCATTTAGCAGCTATATTATACACAGAATATTGTCATTTAGCAGCTATATTATACACAGAATATTGTCATTTAGCAGCTATATATTACACAGAATATTGTCATTTAGCAGCTATAATTATACACAGAATATTGTCATTTAGCAGCTATATTAATACACAGAATATTGTCATTAGCAGCTATATATACACAGAATATTGTCATTTAGCAGCTATATTATACACAGAATATTGTCATTTAGCAGCTATATTATACACAGAATATTGTCATTTAGCAGCTATATTATACACAGAATATGTCATTTTAGCAGCTATATTATACACAGAATATTGTCATTTAGCAGCTATATTATACACAGAATATTGTCATTTAGCAGATATATTATACACAGAATATTGTCATTTAGCAGCTATATATACACAGAATATTGTCATTTAGCAGCTATATTATACACAGAATATTGTCATTTAGCAGCTATATTATACACAGAATATTGTCATTTAGCAGCTATATTATACATATGAATATTGTCATTTAGCAGCTATATTATACATAGAATATTGTCATTTAGCAGCTATATTATACACAGAATATTGTCATTTAGCAGCTATATATATACATAGAATATTGTCATTTAGCAGCTATATTATACACAGAATATTGTCATTTAGCAGCTATATTATACACAGAATATTGTCATTTAGCAGCTATATTATACACAGAATATTGTCATTTAGCAGTTATATATTATACACAAATATTGTCATTTAGCAGCTATATTATACACAGAATATTGTCATTTAGCAGCTATATTATACACAGAATATTGTCATTTAGCAGCTATATTATACACAGAATATTGTCATTTAGCAGCTATATTCTACATAGAATATTGTCATTTAGCAGCTATATTATACATAGAATATTGTCATTTAGCAGCTATATTATACACAGAATATTGTCATTTAGCAGCTATATTATACACAGAATATTGTCATTTAGCAAGCTATATTATACATAGAATATTGTCATTTAGCAGCTATATTATACACAGAATATTTGTCATTTAGCAGCTATATTATACACAGAATATTGTCATTTAGCAGCTATATTATACACAGAATATTGTCATTTAGCAGCTATATTATACATAGAATATTGTCATTTAGCAGCTATATTATACACAGAATATTGTCATTTAGGAGCTATATTATACATAGAATATTGTCATTTAGCAGCTATATTATACACAGAATATTGCATTTAGCAGCTATATTATACATAGAATATTGTCATTTTAGCAGCTATATTATACACAGAATATTGTCATTTAGCAGCTATATTATACATAGAATATTGTCATTTAGCAGCTATATTATACACAGAATATTGTCATTTAGCAGCTATAATTATACACAGAATATTGTCATTAGCAGCTATATTATACACATAATATTGTCATTTAGCAGCTATATTATACACAGAATATTGTCATTTAGCAGCTATATTATACACAGAATATTGTCATTTAGCAGCTATATTATACACAGAATATTGTCATTTAGCAGCTATATTATACACAGAATATTGTCATTTAGCAGCTATATTCTACATAGAATATTGTCATTTAGCAGCTATATTCTACATAGAATATCGTCATTTAGCAGTTATATTATACATAGAATATCGACATTTAGCAGCTATAATATACATAGAATACATTCACCTCCTCCATACTCTCTCCCTCCAATATGATATCCAATCTTTCGTTACCTTTTTTTTTTTTCTTTCGTTATCATCATCACTTTACTGTGTTCAGATATTTAGGAGTGGACGTGTCAGCAGATGGGTCTTTGAAAGATGAGGTGAAAAATAGAACTGATGAGGGAAAAAGGTGAGTGGTGTGCTGAGGAGTCTGTGGAAACAGACTTTGTCCGTGGAAGCAAAGAGGATTAGATTTTAGATTTTGCCACCGAAGTGGCTAGTTTATTGTGCACCCCATATTCATCCTGTGGACGGTAGCGCGAGAGCATATGGATACACAAAAGGCCTAGGAACTAGGCCCCAAAGGGTTAACAGGAATACATATGGATTTATATCTACATATCTATAGTTCACTTATCTGTTACAAGCAAATTTAGGAAATTTGCTTAGTATATCTGGTATCTTATTTTCATTAATAAGATATCTTGACATGTCACATAGGTTATTATACTGTCTGTCTCTGTATTCCTCATTAAGTGGACAATTAAGCACATAGTGTTCAAGACAGTGACCAATTGCCTGATCACATAATTTACATTTAGTTTGACCATCATCTGTGTGTCTCCCAGTAGTACTTGTAACCAAGCCTAAGCCTGGCCACTACAACATCAGTCAGTCTGTTCACATTGCACGTTGCTCCACAAACATACTTATCTACGTTCATGTTATCATAGTGGGTTATAGATCTACTCTGGATTCTAACTGCATTCCTATAACAATCATTTTCATTATTTACTTCTCTCCTAATCAAAGAGGGAAATGTATGAGAGTATAGTTATACCAACGCTTTTGTATGGGTGTGAAACATGCGTGGTGAATGTTGTAACAAGGAGAACGCTGGAGGCAGTGGTGGAGATGTCATGTCTGAGGGCAATGTGTGGTGTGAATATAATGCAGAGAATTTGTAGTTTGGAAATTAGGAGGAGGTGTGGGATTACTAAAACTATTATCCAGAGGGCTGAGGAGGGGTTGTTGAGGTGGAGGAGGGTGGCACTAAATAGAAGGACTTCGAGAGTGTATTAATCTGTAGTGGAGGAAAGGCGGGGTAGAAGTCGGCCTAGGAAAGGTTGGAGGGAGGGGGTAAAGGAGGTTTTGTGTGCAAGGGTCTTGGACTTCCAGCAAGTATGCATGGGCTTGTTAGATAGGAGCAAATGCAGACAAATGGTTTTTTGAACTTGACGTGCTGTTGGAGTGCAAGCAAGATAACATTTATGAAGGGATTCAGGGAAACTGGCAGGCCGGACTAGAGTCCTGGAGATAGGAAGTACAGTGTCTGCACTCTGAAGGAGGGGTGTTAATGTTGTAGTTTTATAACTGTAGTATAAGCGCGCCTCTGGCAAGACAGTGATGGGGATGAAATTGTGAATTATGGTGAAAGTTTTTCTTTTTCGAGTCACCCTGCCTTGGTGGAAGACGGCCGATGTGTTAATAAAAAAATTATACATAAATATGCATTATAAAAGATATGATAGAAAATAAAATGGTAATTTTCAACTCGTTTTCACTTTTTTATATAGTTTGTTGGAATATGTACATTTTTAATGGAAGTTTTGCAAATTGCTCTGAGGCATCCTCACGAAATATTGCTAATAATTATCTAATACCATTTCCTAAATATTAAAAAATGCGATAATTCAATGGCATGTGTTCAGTTTAATTATATTTACACTACACCACTGACAAGTCACTGCAGAACACAACATGTAAAGTCAGAGATCTCGTACAGTAAGAACTGAGTGTACTGCAGGATGGCGTGGTCATGTGTGGGTGTGGGCGTGGTGATGGGCGTGATGGTGGTATTAGGGCAGCAGCCGAGGGTGGAGACACCGTGGGGCACCTTCCTGGGGCAGCAGTACCTCTCCGCCAGGCAGGGTCGCCAGGTCTACGCTTTCACCGGTATACCCTACGCCAAACCTCCCGTGGGCGACCTCAGGTTCAGGGTGAGTTATCCCAGATTAATACTTGAGGTGAATGCATTGTCTCAAGTCAGTACCTCAGTCAAGGAGACTGTTTCTTGGTTATTACTCGACACGACGTGAGTTTCTCCAGGTCAGTTCTTGATAGTAATCCAGACCAGGTGAGTTTCTCCAGGTCAGTTCTTGATAGTAGTCCAGACCAGGTGAGTTTCTCCAGGTCAGTTCTTGATAGTAGTCCAGACCAGGTGAGTTTTCCAAGACGAGTAGTGCAAGTATTTTTTGGTTGATATTACCTGATGTTAGTAATGTAGTGCAGATGGACACTCTAGGTTAGTCTAACACTACACAACTAACTACATGATCAACATCCATAGGCATCCCAGACCTTATATAGCTAGAAATGCAAAATTTTATAGAACCTCTATATTAACATTGTGGAACCCGTTTTCAAGGACCGGAAAAATCAAAAGAATCTATGATTCGCATTACAGTATTATTACTCATGGGAAAGCGGTAAACCCGCAAGGGTCTAGAGCTTCTGAGAGGAGTGAGAGGCGATCAGGCTTGAGTGGAGGAATACGGTGGTGCCTCCAGTTGTTAAGTATCAGGGAACAACGTTGTCAAGCAGTAACACTGTTGAGTCGTCAAGAGTGTAGAGAGCCTGGGGCTCTCCATCTGTCAGCAGCAGCTGTTAAGAGATAAGATAAGATTTCGTTCGGATTTTTAACCCCGGAGGGTTAGCCACCCAGGATAACCCAAGAAAGTCAGTGCGTCATCGAGGACTGTCTAACTTATTTCCATTGGGGTCCTTAATCTTGTCCCCCAGGATGCGACCCACACCAGTCGACTAACACCCAGGTACCTATTTGCTGCTAGGTGAACAGGACAACAGGTGTAAAGAAACGTGTCAAATGTTTCCACCCGCCGGGAATCGAACCCGGGCCCTCCGTGTGTGAAGCGGGAGCTTTAGCCACCAGACCACCAGGTGTCAGCCTCCACTGCCTCGTAATCGAGGTATTGGAAGCTGACACTCAACACAATCAAACTTGGGATGGATTATATTGTGGATGTTATATAGTGTTACAGATTTACTAAAATAATTACATAACTTTGAATATCTTGCTATACCAAGTGTGAAGAATGTAATACTTGGACATAAAATAATGTAACTGACGGTGTATACTTGTTCATTTTCACATTGTGTTAGATTTATTTACTTTAGGTGAAGCACTAAGCCCATGTGGGTCATTCGCCACAGGGACTTGAAGGCTTGATCCTCCGTCCAGTAATCGCCAGACACGCTACTGAACTACACTCTCACCGGAGCATTAAAATAGTTAAGAATCGTTTCTTACGCTCTTAGCGAACAGAGGATCGAGCTCCCATCACTCCTTGGTCTAAAATAAATAATCCACCCCAATGGAAATAAGTTACTTTGCCTGACTTTTTTATGTTATCCTAGGTTCTCTACACATATGATGCTATGTGTCATAATATATGTAACTGTATTTATGTATACCCGAATAAACTTATTTAGGGTTTCACATATAATTATCTGTTTATAATTTTGAGGACAACGTTGTTCACACTTGTCATGTACGTGTCACGAGTGACAGTATTAGTGTAGCTGTTGCAGTAATGTTGCAGATGCCAGTAGAGTACGGTGTACACTCTGAGGTGTTCAACGCCACGGGGTCGTCTCCTGCCTGCCTGCAGTGGGACCACCTGCGAGGCCACGGTGTAGTGGGCCAGGAAGACTGTCTCTACCTTAACGTTTATACCACTACGGTAAGTCCCGTCATACACTCTTGTACAGCGCTTTTACACTCAGGAATTACTACATATTTAAGGGCTAATACACCTTAAGTAAATGATTATACCCAGTAGATTTGGTCTGTGTATATGCAAATTTGACAGTTAACTAACGTAGCTCATTTGTTGAAAAGGATTCCAGTAGAAGGTCGAAATATATAAATCAATTCATTTTCTAAGTTTCTATATTCATAATTTTTAAAGAGGTGGACCGGTAAGCCAACGGAAGGTCTCGATCAGATGACCAAAAGCTCCAAAGACTGGTCATCATCTGACTAAGACCCGCGTCAGGAAATACTTGTTCTGTTTCCTGACAGATCTTACCTTACCTAACCTGAGTTTCTGTCTCCACGTGGGTTATTACTGAGCATAGTTCATAAACTTGGATTCTGAGAAATAACTAGAGAATGCCTCTTCTGATCGGCTTCAAATTTTCACCGATGGTGGCTTGAACTGAAAGAAAGTCTGGCAGTCACCTCCAGCTACGTATGTTTTAATTTGTCAGTTATATTTAACAAATTTTGCTCCATCCATTGACTGGAGAATATTTTTTCTGATCGGCTTCAAACCGTAATGATAGTTTTGTTTACATTGATTCTGGGCTGTGTTGCTGACACTTTATTACTGTGGGAGAAAAAAATGGGAAAATTGAATTATTATCATAATTAAGCTAAGCTCTAACCCCGAAAGGGTCATACAAGGCTGTAGGAAGGGATGTGCATGAGGGGCAGGAGTGAGTCAGGGCAGGAGTGAGTCAGGGCAGGAGTGAGTCAGGGCAGGAGTGAGTCAGGGCAGGAGTGAGTCAGGGCAGGAGTGAGTCAGTCAGGAGTGAGTCAGGGCAGGAGTGAGTCAGGGCAGGAGTGAGTCAGTCAGGAGTGAGTCAGGGCAGGAGTGAGTCAGGGCAGGAGTGAGTCAGGGCAGGAGTGAGTCAGGGCAGGAGTGAGTCAGGGCAGGAGTGAGTCAGTCAGGAGTGAGTCAGGGCAGGAGTGAGTCAGGGCAGGAGTGAGTCAGGGCAGGAGTGAGTCAGGGCAGGAGTGAGTCAGGGCAGGAGTGAGTCAGGGCAGGAGTGAGTCAGGGCAGGAGTGAGTCAGGGCAGGAGTGAGTCAGGGCAGGAGTGAGTCAGGGCAGGAGTGAGTCAGGGCAGGAGTGAGTCAGGGCAGGAGTGAGTCAGGGCAGGAGTGAGTCAGGGCAGGAGTGAGTCAGGGCAGGAGTGAGTCAGGGCAGGAGTGAGTCAGGGCAGGAGTGAGTCAGGGCAGGAGTGAGTCAGGGCAGGAGTGAGTCAGGGCAGGAGTGAGTCAGGGCAGGAGTGAGTCAGGGCAGGAGTGAGTCAGGGCAGGAGTGAGTCAGGGCAGGAGTGAGTCACGGCAGGAATGAGTCAGGGCAGGAGTGAGTCAGGGCAGGAGTGAGTCAGGGCAGGAGTGAGTCAGGGCAGGAGTGAGTCAGGGCAGGAGTGAGTCAGGGCAGGAGTGAGTCAGGGCAGGAGTGAGTCAGGGCAGGAGTGAGTCAGGGCAGGAGTGAGTCAGGGCAGGAGTGAGTCAGGGCAGGAGTGAGTCAGGGCAGGAGTGAGTCAGGGCAGGAGTGAGTCAGGGCAGGAGTGAGTCAGGGCAGGAGTGAGTCAGGGCAGGAGTGAGTCAGGGCAGGAGTGAGTCAGGGCAGGAGTGAGTCAGGGCAGAATGAGTCAGGGCAGGAGTGAGTCAGGGCAGGAGTGAGTCAGGGTAGGAGTGAGTCAGGGCAGGAGTGAGTCAGGGCAGGAGTGAGTCAGGGCAGGAGTGAGTCAGGGCAGGAGTGAGTCACGGCAGGATGAGTCAGGGCAGGAGTGAGTCAGGGCAGGAGTGAGTCAGGGCAGGAGTGAGTCAGGGCAGGAGTGAGTCAGGGCAGGAGTGAGTCAGGGCAGGAGTGAGTCACGGCAGGAATGAGTCAGGGCAGGAGTGAGTCAGGGCAGGAGTGAGTCAGGCAGGAGTGAGTCAGGGCAGGAGTGCGTCAGGGCAGGAGTGCGTCAGGGCAGGAGTGAGTCAGAGCAGGAGTGAGTCAGAGCAGGAGTGAATCAGGGCAGGAGTGAATCAGGGCAGGAGTGCGTCAGGGCAGGAGTGAGTCAGGGCAGGAGTGAGTCAGGGCAGGAGTGAGTCAGGGCAGGAGTGAGTCAGGGCAGGAGTGCGTCAGGGCAGGAGTGAGTCAGGGTAGGAGTTAGTCAGGGCAGAAGTGAGTCAGGGCAGGAGTGAGTCAGGGCAGGAGTGGGTCAGGGCAGGAGTGAGTCAGGGCAGGAGTGCGTCAGGGCAGGAGTGGGTCAGGGCAGGAGTGAGTCAGGGCAGGAGTGCGTCAGGGCAGGAGTGAGTCAGGGCAGGAGTGAGTCAGGGCAGGAGTGAGTCAGGGCAGGAGTGAGTCAGGGCAGGAGTGGGTCAGGGCAGGAGTGAGTCAGGGCAGGAGTGCGTCAGGGCAGGAGTGCGTCAGGGCAGGAGTGCGTCAGGGCAGGAGTGCGTCAGGGCAGGAGTGAGTCAGGGCAGGAGTGAGTCAGGGCAGGAGTGAGTCAGGGCATGACAAAAATGCCCCAAATGCTCTGTATAACCGGGGACTTCTACATAGCATGTCACTGACGTCAACTTGGTCTGTATAAGTTGTATCATGTCCTTGTAGAAATGTATTATTATTATTATTATTATTATTATTATTATTATTATTAATAATAACAGGAAAAGTTGGTCGATGGATCTATAATTTCCTCACTAACAGAACACAGAGAGTAGTCGTCAACAGAGTAAAGTCCGAGGCAGCTACGGTGAAAAGCTCTGTTCCACAAGGCACAGTACTAGCTCCCATCTTGTTCCTCATCCTCATATCCGACATAGACAAGGATGTCAGCCACAGCACCGTGTCTTCCTTTGCAGATGACACCCGAATCTGCATGACAGTGTCTTCCATTGCAGACACTGCAAGGCTCCAGGCGGACATCAACCAAATCTTTCAGTGGGCTGCAGAAAACAATATGAAGTTCAACGATGAGAAATTTCAATTACTCAGATATGGTAAACATGAGGAAATTAAATCTTCATCAGAGTACAAAACAAATTCTGGCCACAAAATAGAGCGAAACACCAACGTCAAAGACCTGGGAGTGATTATGTCGGAGGATCTCACCTTCAAGGACCATAACATTGTATCAATCGCATCTGCTAGAAAAATGACAGGATGGATAATGAGAACCTTCAAAACTAGGGAGGCCAAGCCCATGATGACACTCTTCAGGTCACTTGTTCTATCTAGGCTGGAATATTGCTGCACTCTAACAGCACCTTTCAAGGCAGGTGAAATTGCCGACCTAGAAAATGTACAGAGAACTTTCACGGCGCGCATAACGGAGATAAAACACCTCAATTACTGGGAGCGCTTGAGGTTTCTAAACCTGTATTCCCTGGAACGCAGGAGGGAGAGATACATGATTATATACACCTGGAAAATCCTAGAGGGACTAGTACCGAACTTGCACACGAAAATCACTCACTACGAAAGCAAAAGACTTGGCAGACGATGCACCATCCCCCCAATGAAAAGCAGGGGTGTCACTAGCACGTTAAGAGACCATACAATAAGTGTCAGGGGACCGAGACTGTTCAACTGCCTCCCAGCACACATAAGGGAGATTACCAACAGACCCCTGGCAGTCTTCAAGCTGGCACTGGACAAGCACCTAAAGGCAGTTCCTGATCAGCCGGGCTGTGGCTCGTACGTTGGTTTGCGTGCAGCCAGCAGCAACAGCCTGGTTGATCAGGCGCTGATCCACCAGGAGGCCTGGTCACAGACCGGGCCGCGGGGGCGTTGACCCCCGAAACTCTCTCCAGGTAAACTCCAGGTATTATTATTATTATTATTATTATTATTATTATGCATCTTGCAGACAGGTATCAGATTGCCAATTTTTTTTGATATTGTGAAAATTGAAATGTTTTTTCTGTGATAATATATGAATGCCTCAGCTGATCGGCTTCACACATTCAACGCTGACATATTCTTTCTTAAAAGAAGACTTGATTTCTTATTGGGCTGTGTAGGTGCCAATTTGCAAAATTTTACATCATCCCCCCAACTGTCCTTCTCTGGTAGCTCATAAGAGGTATGCAAATTACAATTTCTTACAAAAAAAATCACTTATAAAGTGTTGGTATGTGTTTCAGTTGCCGCCTGCACCCACGTACTACAACACACAGCCAGTGGTGGTGTTCCTGCACGCTGGCACCTGGATGGCAGGTAGTGGCGGGGATGGCCTCTTCCAGCCAGACTACATGCTGGAGTCTGACGTCGCTGTTGTTACTGTCAACCACAGGCTGGGACCCTTCGGTGAGTGGTCAGTCACAGCCTGGGAGACTACGTGGTTTATATGTGTGCTGGAGGACCCCAGTTCTTTACACCCGAGTTAACAAGACACTTAATCCTTCCTTCTAGATTTTGGATTAGAGTTTGCCACCGAAGTGGCTAGTTTATTGTACACTCCATATCCATCCTGTGGACGGTAGCGCAAGAGCATATGGATACACAAAAAGCCTAGGAACTAGGCCCCAAAAGGGTTAACAGGTGTACATATGGGTTTTTATTTATCTAAATATCTATAGTTCACTTATCTGTTACAAGCAAATTTAGGAAATTTGCTTAGTATATCTGGTATCTTATTTTCATTTATAAGATATCTTGACATGTCACATAGGTTATTATACTGTCTGTCTCTGTATTCCTCAATAAGTGAACAATTCAGCACATAGTGTTCAAGACAGTGACCAATTGCCTGATCACATAATTTACATTTAGTTTGATCATCATCTGTGTGTCTCCCAAACTGCCAGAAGTACTTGTAACCAAGCCTAAGCCTGGCCACTACAACATCAGTCAGTCTGTTCACATTGCAAGTTGCTCCATAAACATACTTATCTACGTTCATGTTATCATAGTGGGTTATAGATCTACTCAGGCTTCTAACTGCATTCCTATAACAATCATTTTCATTATTTACTTCTCTCCTAATATTATTCCTAATGCTAGACACAGATGTACTGGGTACTCTTCTTGGCTAACATATCAACTTTATCATGAAGAAGTAATCCAATGGGTTATGGGATCCATAGCAATTGCACATTAATTCCTTTGTCCCTGATTTTTGAGTATCTACACCTGGCTTCTCCAGTGAGCATGTTGTTGGGGTCATTATATGAGTCAAGAGCCTTCAGTGATGACATAGAATCAGTAATGATGATAGAGTCAAGCTCAGTGTCATAGGTTAGCTTTAGCGCCATTAGGATTGCAAACAATTCAGTTTGCAGTGTAGACGCCCAGTTGTTAATTCTTATGCCTAACTCAACAAATTTATTATCGTTCTTAACTAGGGAGGTGGCAACAAGAGCAGATGCAGCCCTGCCAGAAGACTCCTATTTAGATCCATCACTGTATATAACTTATGATAACTTATTACTACCAGCTAGGTGAAAAGTTTCTTATTGAGCAGTTGCTTTAAAATTTGATTTAAGGAAGGGATTACTAGAAATGAGCTTCTTGGGAGGGACTTGCAGGTATGTGATATTAAATGAACACATCTTCCATGGAGGGGTGAAATGCTCTTGTTGTCTACAGTCATACAGTTCATGCAGGTTATAAAACTTAATGCAATTGCACGTTTTCACAATCCATTTAGATCTGTGTGTATTTACCTCTAGACACTTAGTAAGATTCATTGTGACAGTGTCAGGTTCATTTCTTAACATTCTAATACCGAGTACAGTGTTAATCTCAACAATCCTATCACTGATACTAGAAATACCAGGCTCCTTCCTCATATTAAGAACCTTTGTAGATTTGGGACACCCAAGAATAATTCTGAGAGCTTCATTTTGCATAAACTCCAAGGGTCGGAGAGAACTTTCTCTAGCTAATATCGACATGGGAGCAGCATAATCAATTAAGGACCTAACATAGGCTATGTACATCATTCTCACGATTCTCACATTAGCACCATAGTTGGGATTGTAGCCAGCAACAGCTTTGAGAGCATTTAGCCTATCTTCGCATTTCTTATTTAGTTGTGGTACAGTGGATTTGTTAAAGGGTACATCTACACCAAGATATCTTTAATTTTTAACGTAGATAATGTTTTCACCCTGAAAATAGATGGGTGGGGGATGTTGTTTGCTTGTTAATATCTTTGTTTTAGAGGAAGATATTATGAGGCCTAGTTGACGACAAATTGCTTGAACTTCATTAAGAATGGTGCTCATCTTCTTATGCCCTGTTGTATGTATCATGATGTCATCAGCATAGCTTATAGCTATATGTTTAGGTGAGACAGGTAGAGCATTTATGAGAGCATTAATCAGAATATTATATAATAGCATGGGACTGAGAACTCCTCCCTGCGGTGCACCTAAAGACATTTCTTTCGACTCACTTCTAAAGCCTTGGTAGAGGACAGAGGATACTCTATTTGACAGGTATCCTATTATCCAGCAGAGTAAGCTACTCCTTCGTGATGGAATATGACGGGAAAACCATCACGCAGGAAAGCCTTTTGCGTGATGGGCGCTTGTTAGATGAACACAGATGATGGTACCCACACAGTGTGCCACAACTAGTAGGAAGTGAACACGAGTGCATACACTTAGAATACCTTTACTGATGACGTTTTGCTCCTGGAACCTTGATCACTTATGGTCCACGAACCGAAACGTCTTCAATAAATGTGTCCAAAGTGAGAATGCACACGTGACCATTTCCTGTTAATGTGGAGTGTGTAAATTTTAAAAAAGAAAAACATCACAATCGCAAGTCAATGTTTAAATGTAGTGTGTGTGTGTGTGTGTATATATATATATATTTATATATATATTATATATATTATATATATATATATATATATATATATATATATATATATATATATATATATATATATATATATATATATATATATATATATATATATATATATATATATATATATATATATATATATATATACAAGGAATTCGCAAGATTAGATTTTTTTTTAGATTTTGCCACCGAAGTGGCTAGTTTATTGTGCACCCCATATCCATCCTGTGGACGGTAGCGCGAGAGCATATAGATACACAAAAGGCCTAGGAACTAGGCCCCAAAGGGTTAACAGGAGTACATATGGATTTATATCTACATATCTATAGTTCACTTATCTGTTACAAGCAAATTTAGGAAATTTGCTTAGTATATCTGGTATCTTATTTTCATTAATAAGATATCTTGACATGTCACATAGGTTATTATACTGTCTGTCTCTGTATTCCTCAATAAGTGGACAATTAAGCACATAGTGTTCAAGAGAGTGACCATATGCCTGATAACATAATTTACATTTAGTTTGATCATCATCTGTGTGTCTCCCAAACTGCCAGAAGCACTTGTAACCAAGCCTAAGCCTGGCCACTACAACATCAGTCAGTCTGTTCACATTGCAAGTTGCTCCATAAACATTCTTATCTACGTTCATGGTATCATAGTGGGTTATAGATCTACTCAGGCTTCTAACTGCATTCCTATAACAATCATTTTCATTATTTACTTCTCTCCTAATATTATTCCTAATGCTAGACACAGTTATACCAAAGTTATATTCTACATTCTCCTTCTCGATACTCTTCTTGGCTAACATATCAACTTTATCATGAAGGAGTAATCCAATGTGTGATGGGATCCATAGCAATTGTACATTAATTCCTTTGTCCCTAATTTTTGAGTATCTATACCTGGCTTCCCTAATGAGCATGTTGTTGGAGTCATTATATGAGCCAAGAGCCTTCAATGAATTCGCAAGAGCAGGCAAAATATACACAAACACTGATCTCTGGCTGAAGGAGACTCGAACCTTCGAACCTTGGAACAAGGTACGCAGTGCTATGCCATTCTCACCACACTGGACCAATACCTTGGCGCCTAGCACAATGCTAGACTTGGATCCAAGGCAGCCAGCTTTCAGGGAGAAGGCTTACAGCTTTTCATCTCATCCCCTGCATGCATCAGCCTTACTAGAAATTTTAACAATGCAAGGAATTCGCAAGAGCAGGCGAAATATACACAAACACAAACATTACACAAACACATACACACATATGTATATATAATATATATATATATATATATATATATATTATATATATATATATATATATATATATATATATATATATATACCCGGAGAGGGTTTCGGGGGTCAATGCTCCCGTGGCCTGGTCCATGACCAGGCCTCATGGTGGATCAGGGCATGATCAACCAGGCTGTTACTGCTGGTCGCACGTAAACCGACGTGTGTGCGTGTACTCACCTAGTTGTACTCACCTAGTAGAGGTTGCAGGGGTCGAGTCCAAGTTCCTGGCCCCGCCTCTTCACTGGTCGCTACTAGGTCACTCTCCCTGAACCATGAGCTTTATCATACCTCTGCTTAAAGCTATGTATGGATCCTGCCTCCACTACATCGCTTCCCAAACTATTCCACTTCCTGAGTACTCTGTGGCTGAAGAAATACTTCCTAACATCCCTGTGATTCATCTGTGTCTTCAACTTCCAACTGTGTCCCCTTGTTGCTGTGTCCCATCTCTGGAACATTCTGTCTTTGTCGACCTTGTCAATTCCTCTCAGTATTTTGTATGTCGTTATCATGTCCCCCCCCCCTATCTCTCCTGTCCTCCAGTGTCGTCAGGTTGATTTCCCTTAACCTCTCCTCGTAGGACATACGTCTTAGCTCTGGGACTAGTCTTGTTGCAAACCTTTGTACTTTCTCTAGTTTCTTTACGTGCTTGGCTAGGTGTGGGTTCCAAACTGGTGCCGCATACTCCAATATGGGCCTAACGTACACGGTGTACAGGGTCCTAAACGATTCCTTATTAAGATGTCGGAATGCTGTTCTGAGGTTTGCTAGGCGCCCATATGCTGCAGCAGCTATTTGGTTGATGTGCGCTTCAGGAGATGTGCCTGGTGTTATACTCACCCCAAGATCTTTTTCCTTGAGCGAGGTTTGTAGTCTCTGGCCCCTTAGACTGTACTCCGTCTGCAGTCATCTTTGCCCTTCCCCAATCTTCATGACTTTGCACTTGGTAGAGTTGACCTCCAGGAGCCAATTGCTGGACCAGGTCTGCAGCCTGTCCAGATCCCTTTGTAGTTCTGCCTGGTCTTCGATCGAATGAATTCTTCTCATCAACTTCACGTCATCTGCAAACAGGGACACCTCAGAGTTTATTCCTTCCGTAATGTCGTTCACAAATACCAGAAATAGCACTGGTCCTAGGACTGACCCCTGTGGGACCCCGCTGGTCACAGGTGCCCACTCT